TATTGTCTTGTAGGAGGGGGGAGGGGAGGTGTTAGTGAGGATGTATGTATCGGAGATTTCTATTGGGCGGGGAAGTTGCTTTGCCTAGGGTGTTGGGGTAGCGGGAGGGGTGTTGGGGAGTTTTTGGTTGTAGGTGTAGGAGGGTTGGTTGTGGGTGTAGGAGAGTTGTTTGTAGGTGTAGGAGGGTTGGTTGTTGGTGTAGGATGTGGTTAGGAATTGTTGGTGTAGGGTGGTTGGTGTGGTGTAGAGTGTTTGTTGTGGGTGGTGATGTAGGAGGTTGTTTGGTGAGTAGGAGTTGGTGTAGGTGTAGGAGGGTTGGTTGTAGGTGTATGGAGGTTGTTTGTGGTGTAGGAGGGTTGGTGTAGGTGTTAGGAGGGTTGGTTGTGGGTGAGGAGTTTGGTTGTGGGTTTGTAGAGGGGTTGGTGTGGTGTAGGAGGTTGGTTGTGGGTGGGAGGGTTGGTTGTGGTGTAGAGGGTTGGTTGTGTGTAGGAGGTTGGTTGTGGTGTAGAGAGGGTTGGTTGTGGTGTAGAGGGTTGTTGTTGTGGTAGGAGGGTTGGTTGTGGGTTGTAGAGGGTTGGTTGTGGTTTGTAGAGGGTTGGTTGGGTGTAGGAGGGTTGGTTGTGGGTGTTAGAGGTTGGTTGGGTTTGGTGGGTGGTTGTGGTGTAGGGGTTGGTTGTGGGTGTAGAAGGGTTGGTTTGGGTGTAGGAGGTTGGTTGTGGGTGTAGAGGGTTGGTTGTGGGTGTAGGAGGTTGGTTGTGGTGTAGGAGGGTTGGTTGTGGTGTAGAGGGTTGGTTGTGGGTGGAGGGTTGGTTTTGGGTGTGAGAGGGTTGGTTGTGGGTGTAGGAGGGTTGGTTGTGGTGTAGGAGGGTTAGTTTGTGGTGTAGGAGGGTTGGTTGTGGGTGTAGGAGGGTTGTTGGTGTAGGAGGGTTGGTTGTGGTTGTGGTGTAGGAGGGTTGGTTGTGGGTGTAGGAGGGTTGGTTGTGGGTGTAGGAGGGTTGGTTGGGTTGGTGTGTAGAGGGGTTGGTTGTGGGTGTAGGAGGGTTTGGTTGTGGGTGTAGAGGGTTGGTTGTTGGTGTAGGAGGGTTGGTTGTTGGTGTAGGAGGGTGTGTGGTTAGGGGTTGGTTGTGGGTGGGTGGTGGTGAGGGGTTGGTTGTGGGTGTAGGAGGGTTGGTTGTGGGTTAGGTTTGTTAGGAGGGTTGGTTGTTGGTGTGAGGAGTTTGGTTGTGGGTGTAGGAGGGGTTGGTTGTGGGTGTAGAGGTTGGTTGTGGGGTGTAGGAGGGTTGGTTGTGGTGTAGGGGATTGGTTGTGGGTGTAGAGGGTTGGTTTTTGGTGTAGGAGGGTTGGTTGTGGGTGTAGGAGGGTTGGTTGTGGTGTAGGAGGGTTGGTTGTGGGTAGGAGGGTTGGTTGTGGGTTGTAGGAGGGTTGTTGTGTGTGGTGGGTTGTTGTGTAGAGGGTTGGTTGTGGGTGTTGGATGGTGTGGGTAGGGGTTGGTTGTGGGTGTAGAGGGATTGGTTGAGTGTGTGTGTAGGAGGGTTGGTTGTTGGTGTAGGAGGGTTGGTTGTGGGTTTGGTAGAGGGTTGGTTGTGGTGTAGGAGGGTTGGTTGTGGGTGTGGAGGGTTGTGTGGTTGTGGGTGTTGGTTAGGAGGGTTGGTTGTGGGTGTAGAGGGTTGGTTTGGGTGTAGGAGGGTTGGTTGTGGGTGTAGGAGGGTTGGTTGTGGGATGTGGTAGGAGGGTGTGTGGTGTAGGGTGTAGGAGGGTTGGTTGTGGGTGTAGGAGGGTTGGTTGTGGGTGTAGGAGGGTTGGTTGTGGGTGTAGAGGGTTGGTTGTGGGGTTGTTTGGTGAGGAGGGTTGGTGTGGGTGTAGGAGGGGTTGGTTTGTGTGGGGTGTTTGAGAGGGTTGGTTGTGGGTGTAGGAGGGTTGGTTGTGGGGTGAGGTGGTTGGTTGTGGTGAGTGGTAGGGTAGGGTTGGTTGTGGGTGTAGGAGGGGTTGGTGTAGAGGTGTGGGTGTTGTAGTGAGAGGGTTGGTTGTGGGTGTAGAGGGGTTGGGTTGTGGGTGTAGAGGGGTTGGTTGTGGGTGTAGGAGGGTTGGTTGTGGGTGTAGAGGGGTTGGTTGCGGGTGTAGGAGGGTTGGTTGTGGCAATATGAACAACAGTTACAAAGCCAACAACAAAAACAGCAACAATAACAACAACAGCAGCAGCAATACTGGGAGAAGCATCAGTACCACGTGAGTACCAAAGCAGCACCACCATCTCTCGCACAAGCAGTACTATTGGCAGAAGCACCACCACCACACCAATACCAGCAGCACCACCACCATCAACAAAACAACAGCACAGGCAGCAACACCACTACATCAGCATCACCACTACCACCAATGGCAGTAACTTCAGCAGCACTACCAGTACCAGACATACAAAATCTCTGATACAGCGCTACTCCACAAATGTGGCAGTTAAGTAATTGCAGTTAACGAGTCTCAACCGAGAGCTCTGACGTCCCACATTATCAACATTTTTGAAAGGGTTTTAAGCATCAAGATTGCCAGCCACATGGAATCCCAGCAATTGCACAACCCATGGGTTCAGAACAGGTCTGACCTGCCTCTCGCAATAGCTAGACCACTACAACATGGTCCTGGACATACCGGAAGACAAGCAAAGAGTAGGTATAGCGTACTCCGACTTTGCAAAAGCCTTTGACAGGAACAACCATGGGGTAATTTCTCACAAAATGCGTACAAAATGACGGGAAAGGTGGGCAGATAGATACTGAATATTCTGAAATCTAGATAATAGAACCCAAAGGGTAGTCAACTAACAGAATTATGTCAGGACTGCTATAGTGAAAAGTTATTCCCTAGTGTACAGTACTCATCCCACTTCTCTTTTTCATTATCATATCTGACGTAGACAAGGATATGAACCACACCAATGTATCGTAGACAAGGATATGAACCACACCAATGTATCGTAGACAAGGATATGAACCACACCAATGTATCGTAGACAAGGATATGAACCACACCAATGTATCGTAGACAAGGATATGAACCACACCAATGTATCGTAGACAAGGATATGAACCACACCAATGTATCGTAGACAAGGATATGAACCACACCAATGTATCGTAGACAAGGATATGAACCACACCAATGTATCGTAGACAAGGATATGAACCACACCAATGTATCGTAGACAAGGATATGAACCACACCAATGTATCGTAGACAAGGATATGAACCACACCAATGTATCGTAGACAAGGATATGAACCACACCAATGTATCGTAGACAAGGATATGAACCACACCAATGTATCGTAGACAAGGATATGAACCACACCAATGTATCGTAGACAAGGATATGAACCACACCAATGTATCGTAGACAAGGATATGAACCACACCAATGTATCGTAGACAAGGATATGAACCACACCAATGTATCGTAGACAAGGATATGAACCACACCAATGTATCGTTCTTTTCAGACCGTACTAGAATCTGCATAAGAATGGCAATCGTAAAAGACACAGTGAGCCTCCAAATTAATATCAGCCAAGTTTTCCATTGGGCTACCGACAACAATGTGATCAAACCATACCACGGGCGGGGACATAACCCGCGATCAGAGTCTCAATATGCAGTCTCAATACTCCACACCATCGCGTTAGCCACTGGGCCAGCTAGCCACAATAAGATTCTATCTCCGCCCGTGGTATGGTTTGTTTGCAATCGTGTCATTACGATTTCGTCGGTAACAATGTGATGTTCAATGAGAACAAATTTCAGTTACTACGTTATGGAAGGATTGAGGAAATAACAAATCGGAGCACAAGACAAACTCAAGTCACTCTTTAGAGCACAAGTCTCATGTGAGAGACCTGTGAGTGGTAATATAAATAATATAAAATCTCAAGTTCAAGTAGCACAGCAATGTCATTATTGCAACTGAAAGGGATGTGATAGGTTGGATAGCTAGAACCTTTAAAACAAGAGATGCCATGGCAGTGATGACACTCTTCAAGTCATTCGTTTTCTCTAGGCTGGAATATTGCTGTGTAATAACGGCCCCTTCAATGCAGGCGAAATTACTAAGCTACAAAATCTAGATAACTTTCACAGCTCGTATTAACTCATTCTAGCACCTACATTACCGGGAACGCTTAAGTCCCTTAACCTGTACTCCTTGGAACGTAGGCGAGAAAGATACATAAGCTACATCTGGAAGATACTGGAAGAATTGGTCCCAACAAATCACTTCATATGAACACAAGAGGATTGGCAGATTGTACAGGATACCTCTAGTGAAAAGCAGGGGAGAGATTATTTGAGTCTGCTTACTTTAAGCATGAGTATACTTAGAGAGAACCCAATAAGTGTAAAGGGTCCACGACTCTTCAACACCCTCTCTTCATGCATAAGGTGAATTACCAACAAATCCCCGGTTGTGTTCAAGACGGAACTCGACAAATTCCCCAAGTCAATTCCTGATAAGCCGGGCTGTGGTGCATACGTTGGACTGTGAGCAGCTGACATTAACAACCTGATCGATCAAGCCAGCAACCGAGAGGACTGGTCTGGGATCGGGCCGCGGGAGCGATGACCCGGAAGCGACTACAGGTAACCTATAAGTAACCACCACTGGCAGAAGCAGCACCACCACCTCCGGCACCAGCAGTAGTAGTACATCAGTAGCAACAGCAGTAGTACCACATTAATACCAACAGCAGGAGCACCGCCATCAGCATCAACAGTCTGACCACTTTCCACACCAAGAGCAGCAGCACCACCACGTCAAAACCACCACTGACAAAAGTACCACCACGTCAGTTCCGGCAAAAGCAACAGCAGCAAACACAGTAACGTGGGCAGCAGCGCGAGGGAGACAAACAGCATTAGCGTGACCGCCTGGGGAGCACCACGCCCTAGTCTCATTGCGCGTGCCTGGACAAGGTCCTGGTGGAGGGAGAGAGGGAGGAGTGGAGGGCACTGAGGGAGAGTGTCTTGGTGCTACGCCAGTGTTGTTGTGCAGGCTCGGAGAGACTGCCGTCACTCTTCTTCCACTCCTGCTATTCCACAATCCGTGTCTATCATACGCATTGGTTGACGTGTGTCTTCCGACCCGACTCTTGTGGGTGTAAGGTCAGTGAAGGATTAAGTCTGGGTGAGGTGCCGGAGGCTACACACCTGATCTACACCACAACACATGTTTACAAATCGTGTAGTGACACGTGCTTGGAAAAAAAAAAGAGTAAAATTGTAAAGAAAAAATCAGAGAATAGTTTCATGTGTGCGCATGACAAGAAGTGTGCCGCGACCTGAGAAGTGTCGGTCAAGCCACGAGAGGAAGAAGGTAAGTACTCACGATTGTCACTCTTTTTACCTGACAGGTTTTGATAAGCAAGTGGGTGAGTTAGATGTTAGGAATGGAGCTATTGTTTGTAAGCAAACTTGGGCACACCCACAGTGTGCGCCTGTCCTGTGGTTATCATGTGCTGTACGAGTGTTTACACTGTGGGAACACCCACAGCATGCGCCTTACATAGAGGAAACCAAGGCTAGCTTGGTTTCCCTGCGGTATTCAATTCCTTCCATCTCACAGAATGGGTTTCTTATACAAGGGGACGCAAATCGGACCTTTTTTTGGGGGGTTATCCTAGGTAATCAGTCCTTCAGCCTGAGGGACTGATTACCTCAAACTCTCTTTTTCCGCCGTCCTTCTTTGTATTGGACTGAAGAAGCCACTGGCTGGCAAAACGTTTCCTAAATAAAAATTCCCAAGTGTCGCAGAAGTGTCTCATTCTTTAACTTGTCGGTTTTTCAAACCATTTACATCACAATGTATGATAATTGTACTTAAGTGTACCTGTGCCTAAATGAACTTACAATGCGATCAGTAGTTACAACAGGTTCCTAGGTGGACTTCCAGCACCTGTGGAAGTTACTATTGCTTGGGAACTGTCTCCCAAGATGACTATCGTATCACAGGAGAATATGTAAATTGTGTGGAGGGAATAGTGTCTTATAAGAAACGAAAAAATATTATTATACTCAGATAACCGACTCTTCATCCATCTACACCACCTGCGTCTTAGTGGGTGAAGCACCACCTGCGTGCCAGTGGGTGATGCACCACCTGTGTTCTAGACTATGCTCACCCATATTCTAGACTGTGCTCACCAGTGTTCCAGACTATGCTCATTTTTGCTACAATTCTGTCTTCTTCCTGCTGCTTTACGGGACTACACGTCACCGTGTTGGTGAAGGTTCTTGATCCCAGAAATCGGAGGTATCCACCCACTCCCATGCATCAAGCCTTGTCACCTCCCATAAACCTGGCTCTTTGTGACTTACGGGGTTAGCGCTTCTCTTCGCCCCTAATAACCTCAGGGACTAGAACATGTCTATTCCAGAACGTGTGAGAAGATCTATTCCTTAATCTATTGCGTCTATTCTTTCAGTGGTTCGCTGCACCCGTTCTACCCTAGTTAATTGTGGATGGGGGGAAAGTTGATGGGGATAGATTACAGTCATTTAGGTAAGACACGTGGCTTTAATGAGAGCCATGGCTCAGGTGACTAGAAAGAACAGGTAAGAGGGAGGCAGTTAGGGAGAGAATTTGTTGTGGTTGTTGAGGTTCTCTAACGAGTGGGGAAGAGGGGAGGAGAGAGAGGGGGGAGGGTGTTTTGTTTGTCAGGTAAGAGTATGGTGACTCCTGAAGCTGTCTTTAAAACACCGTAGGAGGGAAGGATGTTTTGTTCGTCAGGAAAGAATATGTGTGATTGTTTTTTTAACTATCTTGCTCTCGAGGTCACCGCTCAATACATTAAAAATTATTTATTAGTTGAATAAATACAATTTGCATCAGATTTAATACATAAAGTCACGGTCCTCCATTTCTGTAGTTTCGTTTATATGCGTTATTTGCTTCAGTGTTTATGCTATTACGTATCTTAACATTATTAGTTAACCTGTTCCAGTCTTTTTCACCTACTGTATATAAAATGTATATAATGCATGGCTGCATACAATGGTTACATCAAAATTAGGATCATTTTCCCTAAATGACTGGCTCCTCAAGGTAAGATTACTTGGCCAAATTTGGTAATTTTGTTGAAATGATTTAGGCTTAGCTGCTTCATTATCTGCCACTTGTAACATTTCTAAATTTTTGCGGTTTTGAGAGATTCACATTTCTTCGCTAATACAAGTGATCTCAAAAGCATTCCTCAGTCATCGATTGTTCAGTTGTCTGATATTTAATCTCCCGTCGGTCGATGCATGCAGGGGGATGAGATGAATGCTGGCTGCCTTGGATCAAAACGTCTAGCGTTGGCTGGGCGCCAAGGTGTTGGTCCAGTGTGGTACGGTGGTTAGAGCACTGCGTATCTTGTTCGTAGGTTCCAGTCTCCTTCGACCAGAGATTAGTGTTTATATATATATATATATATATATATATATATATATATATATATATATATATATATATATATATATATATATATATATATATATATATATATATATATTAGTGAAACTATAGGTAAACATTAACCTGACTTAACTTCATTAATCCAAACCTAAATTAATGTTGGAAAATTCGTAATAGTCATATTTAAACCAGTAACCAAACATACTGCCTGAATAACTCTTGACATCGGTAATTTGAAAAGATTGTGATGTTGCCTGATACCTTCCATACCTACCTACCCACCTACCTACCTACCCACCTACCTACCCACCTACCTACCTACCCACCTACCTACCCACCTACCTACCTACCCACCTACCTACCCACCTACCTACCTACCCACCTACCTACCCACCTACCTACCCACCTACCTACCCACCTACCTACCTGGAGTATGCTACAATGGTCAGTGCACCCTAGGTTCAGGATATATCTTAGCATCCTGTTTTGGATTGCTCTCAGACTTTTTGGTTAGAGCTGATTACCACAAGGAGTAACCTACACGACACTGCGAATGAGGCAGAGGTTTGCATGTCTTGCATGGTAAGCACTGTGCCCGAGACACACTCTTAGCACAGTGGTAGAGCCTTCAACTCACAACCCAAATGACCCGGGTCGAATCCTGGGAAGGGAGAGATGTATAGGTAAGTCTAACACCTCACTAGTCATATCTAGCTGTAAATTGATGCCTATGAGTTATGAAAACAGAAATGTTGTAGAACAAACTTGAAGAGGAACGTTTTGTTATGTGGAGTGTTATCAAGTCATGGGCAGGTCACAGGTCATGATTTTAAAGCCTTACATTTCATCCACGTATAATTATTATAAACAGTCATGGGGTCGCACCCCGGGAATGGACATATTCCCAGCTGAGAGAAGCTACACTGCCTTTGAAATGAAATTTTATTCTGTCATTAGTTTTACGTATATTATATACAATTCGCCTGTCAACAAGAATCTAAGGATATCCCTTGATATGTTTCACTTAAATTACCATAACTTACATGTGGAAAAAAAAAGTCTTTTCCACGCACCGTCAGCAAGTTATCCAGGCGGCAGGTTTAGTGACTAAAATATAACCACTATATATATATATATATATATATATAATATATATATATATATATATATATATATATAATATATATATAATATATAAATATATCTTTCTTTCAACACACCGGCCGTATCCCACCAAGGCAGGGTGGCCCAAAAAGAAAAACGAAAGTTTCTCTTTTAAATTTAGTAATTTATACGGGAGAAGGGATTACAAGCCCCTTGCTCCCGGCATTTTAGTCGCCTCTTACAAAACGCATGGCTTACGGAGGAAGAATTCTGTTCCACTTCCCCATGGAGATAAGAGGAAATAAACAAGAACAAGAATTAGAAAGAAAATAGAAGAATACCCAGAGGGGTGTGTATATATATGCTTGTACATGTATGTGTAGTGTGACCTAAGTGTAAGTAGAAGTAGCAAGACGTACCTGAAATCTTGCATGTTTATGAGACAGAAAAAAAGACACCAGCAATCTTACCATCATGTAAAACAATTACAGGTTTTCGTTTTACACTCACTTGGCAGGACGGTAGTACCTCCCTGGGTGGTTGCTGTCTACCAACCTACTACCTAGTATATATATATATATATATATATATATATATATATATATATATATATATATATATATATATATATATATAATCTCAGATGCCAGGGAGTCGCTTATTAGTCAGGTAGTTTGAGCTACTCTTTTCCTCCTCGGATTAAACCTGATTTTATTACATTTTCCTCAGGTGCAGTATGATTCCTACGGGCTTAGCGGTTTCAAAGGAATGTAGTAATAATAGCTCTGAGGTAGATCACTCGGATCACAACCGGTGTACCCGGTGTCAAGCCCTGGGTGTGTGCAAGTCTCCTAACGCATGTTACCCAACACTGAGTGGATTCTTGTGAGTTAGTCGGCTGCTGTGAGTTGCATCCTGGGGGAAGACCTCAAGACTCCAATGGAAATGAGCTACACTGCCTTTTTTGTTTTGGAGTTAACCTGGACTATTAATTCTTCATTGTTAATAGCTCGAATAGATTGGTTTTACTGGGGTTAAAAACCTAGATACGACACGAGGGTTTAATTAATTAAGGCTGCTTGTCACCTGTGCACCTTCGGTTTAATCCGCACTACTGCAGTTATCACTACCACAGTTATCACTACCACACTCATTACCACAGTTATCACTACCACACTCATTACCACAGTTATCACTATCACACTCATTACCACAGTTATCACTACCACACTCATCATTACCACAGTTATCACTACCACAGTTATCACTATCACACTCATTACCACAGTTATCACTACCACACTCATCATTACCACAGTTATCACTACCACACTCATCATTACCACAGTTATCACTACCACACTCATCATTACCACAGTTATCACTACCACACTCATCATTACCACAGTTATCACTACCACACTCATCACTTCAGTCATATCTTTACTATATTCGATACAGTCCACTACAGCCTTATCTTCATTACTACAGTCATCACTCTAGTTGTCATTAGTCATCACTACAGCCTTTATGTACACCACTACTGTCATCAGTAGTTTATCTTAACTATAGTCACACACACACACACACACACACACACACACACACACACACACACACACACACACACACACACACACACACACACACACACACACACACACACACACAGGAGAAAGATCTAGGAGTGAGTATAATACCAAGTACGTCGCCAGAAGCACACATTAACCAGATAACTGCTGCGGCTTATGGGCGCCTGGCAAACCGGAGAATAGCGTTCCGGTACCTCAGTAAGGAATCGTTTAAGACTTCATACA